AGATTCTGTAATCTTGGAGAATCAAAAATCATTTATTAATTTATTTAAATTTCCTTTTTAAAGAAGATTTAAAAAAAAAAAAGGAAAAAAAAAAAAGAAAANAAAAAAAAAAAAAAAGCCCAGAAAGCAACGGGAAAAATTCTCTTGGTTGCTTAGCAACGAGAAGCACTATCTTTTTCCATCTTGTCATTCATTCAGTTTCTTTATGGTTGTTATAAATTATTTCCCCTTCTATGGCGAGGTAATTTGGCATATTTTTAAACCATCGCCAGATATATAAATCCTTATTGCCACCTAATTTACAACCCACTTTTTTCGAAATTTTGTCTACCCCCCCTATTTTGAAGGTCAGGAATCCAAATATGTAAAAAAAAATACATGTTTATTCAGAGAAAGTACGTTTTTGTGTCTGATTTCGTAACTTAATTAATAGTTAGCACTAATTAATTAGCATATTTGAGGTCACCCCCGGGAACCATTAAGATCGACACTTAGATCGTGAAAATCCGATCATTAGAACAAAAGTTATTCAGGGTGATATCTTTTTTTTTTTGCGGACTGTACATTAAACTTAAAATAATGTTTAATTAAATAAAAATTGCTTTTTTTAATTAAAAATTGTTTAATTAGTACTATTTAATTATAATTCAAGCTCAAATTTTGAGTCACGATGCTTTTTTCCTGTGATTTTTCTGATGCTTTAATTTCTGTTGCTTTTTTCCAGGGCTGTTCTTCATGAGCTTTTTTTCTGCTTACCTATGAGAATACCAATTCTCATGCATGGCAAAGATAATTATAAGTTTAACTTTGCTTACTACCCTTTCTGTAGAACAGTTTGTAGCAATTGTTTTTAACATTTAATAAAACTCTAAAGTTATCGTCGTAGAATGAGTTAGAAAATATAGTAAAGCGTAAGAAAGTTGTTTCAAAAATAATTGGAAAACAAGAGAATTGGTTTTATAAATGAAGTGGATTCATGAAACTTTTCAAAACCCATGCCTCTCTTTGTTTTTCTTCTTAATTCCCCCTTTTCACTATATTCAGGAAAATCTTTTTCTTCTTCCCTATGAAAATCGCTTACGTCATCAATGCTATCAGTCCTATGTCAACTGATACCAAAGGATCTAATTCTGTTATCAAAATTGAAGAAATGACACATCAAATAACACAAAAGCCATAAATTCCATCTTCTTTGAAAGGAGACTTGTTAATACTGCAGTTACAAGAAATAAGGATTTTTTTGTGTAAAAACTTAGATTTCTTCGAGAACTCCACCATATTTTTCGAATTTAATAAAAATGTAACAAAAATTAATTTATATATAAGAAAACGTCACCCAAAAAGGTTTCAAATATATTCCTTATCTTAAAAAATAAATTGAAACTAATGTTTTAGATCAGCCAATTACCTGGTTATCAATGTGTTTTCCTTATAACGTAAATTTTTAGTTGAAGATATAATACACTTGGGAAAATAGAATAATTCCCACTAAAAAAACATTCAAATAGTATCCCAACCGAAAAAAATTAATTTCGAAATCTAATCCACCACCAAAAATAATTCCCGTTAATCCCAAATCTAAACTACTAATTGTATTACTTTTTTTTTTCTTATTTGTTACTTTATGTGATTGTTAAAGTTGTGCATTGTCGATTGATGATTTTTTACATATCTAATTTTAAACTCCACAATTTTAAATAATAGACTGCAAAATTTGAACGAAATCAGTTAAAGAGTTTTTTGATTAATAAAACTTTAAAAAAAAGAAGACGTATTTTTAAACTCTCATTATCAGTTCGACCTGTGTCGGTCATCATTTAAAATTATATCGCTCAAAATGATATAAAAATCTGCATACCCTAAAATTAAAAAATGTTCGATTATTGTTAAATAAAATAATAAATATTTTTTACGTTGATTTATCTTTGAATACACGAAGTTTATAATTATTTTCAAATAATTTTCAATTTGCTTGAATACTTACTCAGATAGGGAGACATACGCGAAATGTGACATTAATAATAAGATAAATGGGCCCAAACTTTTCGAACATTCAGGATCCCACTTTTTTTGAAATTCAAATATTTAAAAAAAATGTTTCTTCAGAGAAAGCAAGTTATTATGTTTGATTTCGGTACTAAATTGACAGTTAGCACTAATTAATTAAAATAATTGAGGTCTACCCATTAAACAGTTTAGATTTGCACCCAGTTCCCTATTAGAATACAAATTGTGCAGTAAGCAGTTACTCGGTTTCGTTTTCAATAGCTTTTTTTTAATTGTTTCTTATTATTTTACTCATTTATATTCGAAAAATTATGAATTGCAATGTTCATTCATTTTTAATATTCATATTCATTTTTAATTAGGTAATTTTAAAAGACGAAACACAAAATTTGAACGAAATAGGTCAAATAAGAGATCTTAAAAAATAGAATTTAATTTTTTTTTTTTAAATTTAAATTTTTATGTTTTTAATGTCGAATTTGTTGGCTTTGCATTTTAAATTTCTATTCCTTACGATTCAAAATTTTTCGACCCTTATTAAATAAAATGACAAAAAACGAAGCTGAAAAAATATGCGCATAAGAGTAGCATATTGTTAAAGAGCCCTTTTCCCTATCTAGAATTTCGGTTTCTTGACTATTTTCATTCTTAATAAACTTTTGATCATGAAATATCATTCAGAAGGACAATACTTTTTTTAAAAAAAGTGGGAAATTAAATACACTTTATTTGATTAAAATAAATAGCTCCTAATAATTTTACAATTTCTAAAGATTTTTTCAGAATGCTATTGTTAAAGCAGCAAAATTCGCGATTTGTAGTTTTGAGTACACAATTTAAAACTACACTTTTGCCTGTTTTTTTATTTTTGAATTAAAGTTAAATAATTTTTTAAATTTAATTTTATTACAGTTTAAACTAATAAAAATGAATTTGAATGATACTGAAAAAAAAAAAAAAAAACGTAAATTACGCGTAGAGAAGTATATTTACCGAAAGATTAAAAACAGACAAATGTATAATGCTAAAATATTTCGCAAAAAAATCCTGATTGCAGAATTGCACTGGTATACGCTTTACATCACAACTTCTTATTGACACCTTTGAATTTTACATTTTTCCAAAACTGCCAAATGGAGAAAATATCTACCATCAGTGCATTCGGAAAAATTAAATAAATAGGATTAAAATCATTATTAGAAGTTTCTCCATCTACCTCCGCCACTTTGGAAAGTTGAGTTCGTTCGGAAGGAAGGAGGCCTCTTTAAGTGTTTGAAAATCAAAAATGCCATCAAACTTTGACGAATCGTTAACAAGGAAAGCATGATTAGAAACATAAAATGTGTTTGATGCCGGGGAAAACTGATAGTTGGAAAGCGATTATTAGAAATAATTTAAAATTGCAAATGGCAATCAAAATGATTTTGTTGCTTTTCATTACCGCTTTTTTCAATAGCGATACACATTTTATTTTGTTTAAATATCAATTCATAACTCCTATTATGCATATTTTTTGTTCAATTTTACAATAATTCAAAAAATAAGTATTAAGGGTGGTGATAACACAACACCGTTTTAATATAAAATGAACTTCCTGAAATTGATATAATAATTTATTGCAGTGGATTCCATATTCTCGTTTCGCTTACCAATTTTAAGATATAAACATGATTAAGTTGATATTAAATTTATAATAAATATAAATATGCAGTTTTACTTAATTTAAAAGTAGTTTTATTAAATTTTATAATTAGAACTGAAATAAAGTTTTACTTACCTACTACGGGTTTACTTACCTTAATAGTCAGAAAAATATCAATTTTACAAAAAAATTTATGACTAAACTACAATAAACAATATCTTTCGTTAATTTTAATTATTTATTTCTATTGATCTAACTGCCACTGAACATTCATAAAAGAAACTTACATAAGCATTGCTTAGTAAATAAAAAAGACATTAAGTTTTCTCTTTCTTTTTAATCAGAATAAAATGTTCTTGGAGCTCTCATTATACCTATTCTGGCATTTCACCACTACCTCCCCAATGCGCTAATTTTCCAACAATTGGCCATCTTTTCGATGAACTGAAGTATTCTTGCAGTTCAGGTAAATTTCCGATTCTTTCATGGTAAGCCTTGAGGTTCGGAAAGTCATCCAAAACTGTCTTTGAAAACAAGACACAAAAATCAAAAGCGTCATAAGCCAGAAAGTCTACGTAAGTGATATTATCGCTGACGAGGAATTTTCTACGCCCAAGAAATTCAGCATAAAGTTTCAACATACCAGGAATGGCGTTGAAAGCTTCTTTTTGTGCTTCATCAGAATCTGTGTAAGCAACCTTCTGGAAAAAGAACATGCGAAGATCCGAGATTTGTTGTTCAACTAACGTGGCTCTTAGTTTTTCTTCTTCAGTTTCTCCTTCCAAATCATATACTTTAGCCAAGTACCTCAGAATCGTGGTACTTTGTGTCAATTTGACTTTATCATCGATATAATAAGGCAAATTTGGGAAATCCAAGCCTAAGGTGAACTTTTCTTTTTGCCATGTACAGAGCCGCTTTTGTGTTCATAGGGGCCCTGGGCCTGTCATAATCTGGGGGCCCTTTATAAGTAAATTTAGAGAAAAAATTTAATTTTGAATAATTTTTAAAAATGATTTTATTTTAAGAGTAAAAAACATATAAATTAATTATAAAAGCTTATATACATTATTTTTATCGAAAATTAAAGGTAATAATACTTTTCGCGCTTTTTGAGAGACGAATCTTCTATCACATCATCAAAATCAATTTCCTGTAAGACATACAGTTTGATTTGCAGCTCAAAATCTGTAAGACTTAGAAACATCGAATTATGAAGGTGTGTAGAAAATATGCAAGGAGTTAGAAAGAATACAAGAAAATACAGTTTAAATATTGTTTTTTTTTTTTTTAATAATAGTTGAAAAACGGACTTACTTTTGAACCAATGTTTAACTACGTAGCAAGAAATTCTAAAACCAATCCAGAAGACAAGGAAATTCCTGGATCAGTTCCCAGAGGTATTGAATTTTTATGAGAACTTGGAGGAGTCTATGACCCCAACAGATTTAACATTAATTTTATGCATGGGTATTATTCGGCAGGCTGAATTCGTCCATAGTCCTACCAACCAAGCTATTGTGGCCAAATTATTAGTATTTTATAACAGTCATTGAACAGCCCACCCAATTTCGAGTTTACGACTACTAATGTTCAACTCCGTAGCCTTGTAATTTTAAACCCAATCCATCATACGAGAGAACTCCTGGATCAAGTATTGGAAGA